TAATGGCTGAATGATTTATGTCTCAGTAGTAGCCAGCTCTGTTTGTTTTTCGTAGTATTATTTTAACTCCCGAACTTTTCTCTTAGCTTTTCACTATTGCTGTGTGGTAACTTCACATTCTATATCCACCTCAACAAAGCCACTTGCGGACCTCCCTGCTGGTGCAAGGGGTTTAGCACAGCTGTGTGAAGCTATCCGCAGCCTCCCCTGGCCGGTCAGGGAGCTACCCATGTGGCGCAGCAGACCTCTCCTGTATTGCCCGCTACTCCCCTCAGCAGTGTATTTCAGCCAGTCTGCCTGTTCCCTAATGTCTCTAGTGAATCCTTTTACCCCCTGCGCCTCTGGGCTATACCCCAGTTCTTGTATGCATAAATAAATAAATCTTTATTAAAAAGAAAATAACAAAGCCACTTGCTATTCTTGTTATCATATCATTCCTGTTTCTTGGTGGCCTTTCATTTTTATTCTGTGTTGTACCCAGCACATATTATTATATGTCTGCAGAGTTTTTCCTTGGCTGTGCCAACTCTAGTCACCTTCTGTTGTTTGATTGTTCAGCTCCTGTGTTTGATTTCTCAGTGTATAATTTGTAGTTAGGTTTTTGAGGCATAAACAGGGATTCAGTTGTATCTCATCATCTTGAGGCATGAACAGGAATTCAGTTGTATCTGATCATCTTGATTATAAGCTCCTGGAGATCAAGAACAAGTTTAGCTCTCTTGTAACTTTTCCTTAATGCCAGTGACATGTCCTGCATACTTCTGGGTATTTAGTAAATGTTTATTCAGTGACTCTTGAGAATGTAAGAATTGTTTACTAATCCTCACAAAGTCCTGAAAAGGTTGTGTGATAGAGATCATTATTAGCAGAGCAGTTTTATCTTCAGTAGAGAGCAATGGGCCAGAAAATGGTGACAGATTGGAAGTTATTATTTAAAAGAGCTGGCCCTACTAGAGGAGTCATAAATTCTGGGGTAGTATTCAGCAATGGAATTTATTGTTCAAAAATGGTTTTTATTGATGCTTCATGATCCAAGATATTTAATTTGGGGAAAAGGGTAACCCATGCAACTATAACTTAAAAATGTAATCAAACCATATGAATACTGTGTGGGCTAGAATAAGAAGATAAACCTGATTGGCTGAATAAACCTAATGGCTGAATGACTTATGTCCCTGTAGTAGCCACCTCTGTCTATTTCTCATAGGGTTTTTTTTTGGTGGGACCCCCCCCCCCCCCCGGTGGCTGGGAATCGAACTGGCGCTGCAGAGGCTGCGGGCAGCCTGACAACCCAGCGCTCAACTGCTGCGCCACCAGGGGAGGCCCAGTATTATTTCTTAACTCCCGAACTTTCGTTACCTCTTCCATAGAGATTTTATTCACATCATTTGAGATCTGAAAACATGAATCCCTGACTTAATAGATTGAAAGGAAGAAGAAACTCAGCTCTCCATTCTGGTGGAGGAATGAATATTCACATGTAGGAAGAGCCCAAGTGTCTGTCAGATTGTACTTTGCATGAGATTGGTGTGTACTACTATTTTAACACTTCACGAGGCTGCAGTGACATTTCTAGTCCTGGTTCCTAAGGAGGCTGAAAATGTAGACTGTCCTTCAGTCAAGACATCATTCTTGTTTCTTTTTTTAAAAGATTTATTTATTTTTATTATGCATACAAGAACTTGGATGTAGGCCACAGGTGTGGGGAGGGGGTGAGAGGATTCACTAGAGATAGAGTGGGGAGCAGAACTGGCAGATCTACTGAAATCCACTGCTGAGGGGAGCAGTGGGTGAGACAGGGAAGGTCTGCTTCGCCATATGGGTCAGCTCCCTGGTTGGGGATGGAACTCGTGCTGTAGTGGCTGCCGATAGCTTCATAGTGCTGAGACTTAACCCCTTGCACCACCAGAGAGGCCTAGAAATCATTCTTAACGGAATGAATGCTTGACTGCTTTAATTTGCAGTTCTGCTGTTTTATTCTTATTGGATATATTTGCCATATACAACATGTTAATTTGATATATTTATGTATTGTAATGGGATTGCTGTTGTGCTATTGAGCATCTCTAGCAGGGTATGTAATTGCAGTGCAGTATCATTGTCTATATTTCATTATACTGTGCTTTAGGTCTCTGGCTTATTCACTAATTGCATGTTTATAATCTGCCTGTTTTATCTGAAGATGAAGCAGCTTATGTAAACTTAGAAACTACTTTAGAGGTCAATTTTATACTGCTTCATTTTGCTGATTAAGAAAGGTATAAAGGTATTTCAGGTTAAGAATACTGCTCAAGGTTAAACATCTAATTAATATTAGCTAATTAATGGGCATTTTATTGTTGTCTTCTGATTCCAAAGTAGTGATTTGAAATAGTGCCTCTGTAAGGAAAGATTTTACTAGTAGAACAATTAAGTAAATATCTGCCATACCTATTAGATTGACTAGCTTCCCTCCCCTCCCCCATCAGTGGGCTGTGTATCTGAAAGTGTTTTCATTTAATTGAAGTAACATTGCATTGCAACAATATATGTGATGGTGTGTACATCATTAAAAATTGACCTGTGTATACACTACATTAAGTTCACCACTTAAAAGTTCAGTTCCATTCTTCCTCATATAGTTGTCTACTTTGTCTCGATTTACCCAACCCTTCCCCTTCTATTTACCCAACTCCCCACTTCTTGCAACCACTAATTGGTTTTACAGTCTGAAAGTTTATTTTTGTTTTACTTAGTTCATCTCTTTGTTTGTTGTCTGTGTATACCATTTAAGAGTGAATCATACACTTTGTCTTTGTCCATTTAGCTTATATCATGAAACATAAATACACTCTGGATCCATCCATGTTGTTGCAAATGGCAAATTTGGGCTTTTTTTAATAGTTAGATAGTGTTCCATTGTGTATATAGATCATATTTTCTTTATCCACTCTTTGATCAAGGGACACTTAAGTTGTTTCCTGTTCTTGGTTATTGTAAATAGTGTAGCAATAAACATGGGGGTGCATGTATCGCCTCAAATTCATGGTTTCTGCATGAAACCAGAAACCTGTCTGAATCATGGAATAACTGAATGGAATAACTGAATCATATGGAATAACTGCATCATATGAAAGATTATATGAAATTTCTGCTTTCCATCATGGCTACACTAATTTACATTCCTACTAACAGTGTATAGGAGTTCCAGGGGGTGTTTTCCTCATAGAAGTGATGAGTCTGTAGTGAACTTTCCACTTGCTTTTTCCTGGTTCTCCTGATGGCCAGCCCACCTGAAGGATGCTGGCAGGTTTCTTTGCTCAGGACCAGGAATGTAAAGTATATAGAGGGTGAAATTTGCACAGCCGACTGCACCCATTTATAAAATACATTAGCACGTCAATGTACTGGTCACTCGTGTGGAGACCTGCTGCTGGTGAGCACAGCCATACCTGCAGTACCTCCATTTCTGCAGTATCACAGCTATGTTCAGATTAACTAGTGAACAGTATAGAGGCTGAACAGTATCTTGTTTAAAACACAGAGGGAAAAGGGGAGGTCATGACTGAGTTCTCAGCCCTGCCCATCTTATGTAACTTGGAAGCAGACCATGTGCAATCCATGGTGGGCTGGTGACTATTCCAGTCTGTTTTTGGATGTTTTGTGTTTTCAGCCTATTAATAGTGACCACAGAGATCAATTCGTTAACTCATTTGTTCATAGGCAACCATTTCTCAGTGTCCCACTCCCCATAGTCACAAGCTTGTCTTTGTTTTGAATATGATAGATATTTTTGATTCTCATCCAAATTGATAATCAGCTGCCATTAATATTGCAGTTTGAGCAAAGGACACATTCAGAATAACCTTGCAAAAAAATGCTCATTAAATGTTTTCAGTTACCCCCAAGGGAAGTTCTGGTAATTATAATGAGTTTATACTTTAAAGATTTTTACCAATAATACCTTTTCTAAAGCATTTTCTAAACAAGTGCTTTTATCTCTCCCCTGAGCTGGTTGCTTATAAACTTTGTGCTCCTTTTGTTCTTCCTCTTTAACCCATGGTTTCTCTGTAACAAATTGGCTAATTGGGGTTAAATAAAACATTTCAGTCATTTCTGTAGTAATTGTGCTCAGATTCATATATATAAGGTAGGAGCCAGAGTAACTGGTAACCTTAACTGTCTTTAGTTTGTGATGAATTAACAACTTTAGTTTGTCATTGGGTTAAAAACTTCTGGTCAAGTACTTCAAGTTAAAAAGTCTATGCACTTAAGTAAACTGTTCTAAAATACTGTATTTGGAGTAAATTGGGCATTATTTCCCTCCCCCTCCTTTTTAAAGTAGTAGATTCATTTCTTTAAAAGATAGCACATTCATACCTTGATTTATGCCTTGATTTTGCTCTTTTTGTCTCAGACTTGCCTGACCCTTTCTGCCTATGGTTTCCCATCAGAAGGTGCCTTAGATTTGTGGCAAGTTTTCAGGCCTCAGGAATCCAGCATTAGGCCAACCCTATTTGGCTGGGAATTTACCCATAAGGGGATGGGTTACTGTGTTTTTTACTGGGAAACTTTTGTCCTTTCTTCTATTTCTATGCACAGTAATTCTATTAAAGTTCTTTTCTTTTAAAGGTCTCACACACTAAAAAAAAAAAAAGATATCCCATTCAGTTTAAATCTCCCCTTATTTGGTGTAAGCATGAATAATCTAATATTAGTAAATTGAATTTTGTGTGCTTTTCCTCTGCATTTTAATATAAGTGTAGCTAGGTATGAAATGACTTAGAAGAGGGAGGGTAAAGAGGTAGAATCCTGGTTAATGTAGAATCAGGTAAACACTCAAATAATTGATTGTGGGCCTTGATGATCATCATTGCTGATCTATTGGCAATGATTGGCCTTATTTTACATATTTTTTCCTGTCATGGCAAGCCAGCAAGAGAGTCTTAAGCATTTTTCAAGATGTAAACAAAAATGCATTCCCTTTTGGTTAATTTTTTTCCTATCTTCTCTTTCTTAAGGTGCACTGACAGAGTGCTATGATGAATTGGGAAACAGATACCAACTTCCAGTCTATTGCTTGGCACCACCAATCAACATGATAGAGGAAAAGAGCGACATAGAGACTCTGGATATTCCCGAGCCACCACCTAATTCTGGATATGAATGTCAGCTCCGCTTGCGCCTTTCCACAGGCAAAGACCTCAAACTTGTGGTCCGCAGCACAGACACAGTATACCACATGAAGAGGAGGCTGCACGCCACAGAAGGGGTAGAGCCAAGCAGTCAGCGATGGTTCTTTTCTGGCAGACCGCTCACTGACAAAATGAAGTTGGAGGAGCTGAAGATCCCAAAAGACTATGTTGTGCAGGTTATCATCAGCCAACCTTTGCAAAACCCAACACCAGTTGAGAACTGAACTGGTCCTGTTGGCTGGTCCCCAGATCATTCCTATTCCTTTATATTGTTGCTTTCATCATTTCCTACTCTATGGCGTGAAATTTACTTTCACTGCTCTGAATTCCCTGTGAATGGATTTAGTTCTGAGGAATTACTAGTGAAAAATTCCATCTGTGATGGAGAACAACAAAAATAATTAATAAAACACAAAGAGCCAGCCTTTGAGACTCATGTAATTACAATTTCTAATTTGAGAGGCAGTTAAGAAATAGATGACCATTTATTTTAAAACACCCAACAACTACGTGATGGCTGTATTTAGATGATTTGGACTGTAAATAGAACGTTGCATCCATGAAGAACAGCACCAAGCACCTTTTGAATACAGAATTTAAAAAAAAAAATTGACTATAATTCTCAGAAATTATAACAGTTATAAAACTTGAGCTTTTAAAAATGAAGACTGAAAAGAGCAGTATTTGAGGTTCATTTCTAATCTGGTCTTTGCTCAATTACTATTTAGCCATAAAGGAGTAGAGAGCAGCAAATTGTGTGTCAGTATTGCTTTCCCCATCCCCATAGGTTGAGCTCCTTATTTACACTCACACTAAAATTTGTTGCACGTGGGTGGCAAGCACTCTTCTGGAACACTAGGCAATAATTTAGTCTGTAAGGCCAGATAGGATTTTCAGCTGATACTCAGTTGAAACTTTTATCCTCTTGCTGCATAGGTATTTTGATATGCTTATGTAATGAAGCTGTCTTCATTTCCAGGCTTAGAAGGGTCACTACTACGTGATATCTGCATTGATCTACCTACTCTGCTTGGAACTTTTCATAGCTAACTATACCCCTACATGCATGGATCCTGGGCCAGTGAATGCAAGGAATCAGGTACAGCTGTTCCCACTATAAGGTAATGAAGTAGTTCTCTCTTTTCCTCCAATTTGCCGGAAGGGTCTAAGGAAAACCCATTCAATCTGTGCCTGGGAGAATTGTGCCCGTTATCAGTCTTTTAGAGAAAATGTCAACTCATAATTTACTAGTGTAAGAGGCGTACTGACGTCGCTTCAACTTGAGCAATGAGACCAAATGTTGAAACATCACTTTACACTTCCATGCTTTTAGTTCACTGTTAACCTCTAGTCGTGATGGTGGTCAGTTTCCCCCTCATCTTTCCTAGCAAAGAGGCAAATTAAGAACCACTCTTCAAATTGGGTTCTGAAAAGTCCAATGAGTAGCCTGGTTCTTGTGTACTATGACTTGAATAAAGCCGCCAAGGATGTTACTGAATTTGGAGCCTTTTAAATGTTGGTTCCATGATCATGTTATTCCTTAACATGATCACAGTATCCCTGATAATCCCTGAAATGGACAAGTAGAGGCAAGAAGGCACTTAGGCTGTTCTCAGTTGGGAAATAAACCTCCACACCTATTTGGATGTGAAGCACCATTATTAATTTTAACAGCAAACTGGAAGTGCTAATTAATTAGTTCAATGTAATGGTATTAAATCTCCTTTAGTCTGATTAGATATAATGTCTACAATTGTAACTTAAGTGTGTGTCTGAGAGCTTTAACTGCTTCCCTTTTTTATACAATCACTTTAAAGACTGTGGCTACATTTAATTGAGGTTTCCTGGTAATTGAATCTAAATACAAGAGAAGATAGCAACATTAATTCCAAAGGAGTATTTTTATATTTGGAAGTGGAGGTATGAGGGTATTTCAGTACAATGCCCATTCCCAAAAACCATCATTAATTTGTGTGCCACATTGAATAGCAACATTTCTCCTAGTTTGTCAAGAAAAAAGTTTTCAAACCTATTTTTCTTTAAATTTGGTGATATTATCATTTATCTATGGCTGGTAAAAAGTCCTTTTTGTTGAGGATTTGAGCTCTCGAGTTTATTTTAAAGGAACATACTTTGAATAACACTTTTCTGGGCATGTTTAACTAACCTAGGTGAGAAAACCATGGTGCTGTTTAATTGTAAATAGATTGATATAAGATTGGACCAATACTTGATGTGTACAATTTTAGTATGTAGGGTTTTTTGTGCTTTTTTTAAAAAAAAAAAATGTTGAATTTTCTCTTTGTCCTTGCCTTTATTCTGGGTTTTTAATTATCATTATTCTCTACTTGGGGGTAATCTGCCTTATTCTAATAAACCCTCTAAAAAGGTTTTCCTCCTTTTTAAGACCTCAGCTCAATAAAACATGTTCATTATCACCAAAATTAGGTTCAGCTATGCCAACCCACCGTTGGTCATTTATAGCTATATTTTCTCTTCTGCACTGAAATATTGCTCTAAAATAGGTGGGGTTTTTTTTTTTTTTTTTTTAAAGAATCATGCTGTAAACAAAAACTCATAATTGTTTTTCAGAAACACTGAACTCATTTCTTTTCCATTTTGGGTCAAAGTGGCAGATTCAGGTTGTTCAATTTTTATTAAAAATAGTGATAAAAATTTTTTTAAAAAACAAAAAAGAAAAAAATAGGTGATGTATACATGCGGGGAAGAAATCCAAACATATCAAACCCTAATTCCTCTCCCCAGACGTAATGGCTGGTACCAGTTTCTGGGTATCTTTAAAGATGCTCTGGCACAGTGGTTCTCAGATCTTGAGCATATACCAGAATTATGAAGCTTTTTAAACCACACTGCTGGACTCTTCCCCCAGAGGGTCCAGGTTAGTAGATCAGAGGGGGGCCCAATAATTTGCATTTCCAAAAGCTCAGATGTTGCTGCTGCTGTTCTCCAGACCACTCTGTAAGAACCACTGTTCTAGTGGAAGAGTTTCTTCCCCTATTCTTTCCTGTTTTTTCCATAAATATATATACTATTCAGTACCTTTGATTTTTCTCTAAAATGGTGAATCCTAAAGGATTTCCATAACAGTAGTGCTAGATCTGCTTCATTCCTCTTATAACTGCAATAATACCCATGGTGGGAGTTCCACCATTAATTTGAATTTCATTCCAGTCAATTTGGCTGTTTCTGACTCTTTGCCACTGTAAACCAGGCTTCCATGAAGTGTCCTTTTCTATCATTATGTCTGTGTCTATGTACATCTGTAGAACAAACGCCTGAGCAAGGGCGTTGCCAGATCAAAGAGTATTTAATTGACAGAGTAGATACTGGATTGTTGTCCAGATAGAGTTCACTGATTTACACTTGCACTATAGCAATATGACTGCTTTTATGTCTCCATGACCAGGTCAGCCTTGGATCTTTGACAGTCTGTGTCCTGTGTTTCTCCTTTGAGTGAAGTTTAGCATTTTACTATATATTTTAAGGCCATTTTTTCCCCCTTTGTGAATTGTCTATTTGCCAATGTTCTTACTGCTTTTTGGTCTTTATCCTTTTAATTTATAAATACTCTGTGTTAAGGAAATTAGTTTTCTTCTATCATGTTATTTCTTTTGTCTTTTTGTTGACTTACCATCTATAAGTTTTAAGTTTTGCCCATTCAGATCTACCAGTCTTGTATTTTATGACTTCTGGGTCTTAGCTTCTAAACACCTTTCCCACTCAGAGACTGTAACGATGTTTTCATATATTTTTAGCCCTTTCATGGTTTCATTACCTGACGTTTATCTTGATATGAGGAATAGGGTAGCAGCTCATATTTATTTTTTTCTAGATAGCTACCTCACTTCTCTTGACACTACTTAATGAATTATTTTCATCTCTTTTCCCATTGGTGTGAAAAAAAATCACTCTGATCACAGTTTTTGAAACTATATTTTTGTAATGGTCTTTTCTTGTTAGCTATAGACAAATTAGCAAATATACTTTGGGTTTCCCCCCAACTTTTAGATGCTGTGATGCTTCAGTGTTCCTACTTGTGGAAAAGAGAAAACAAAACAAGGAGTGCAGCTGTAAGCTCCCTTGCTGTGGCCAGCCTCCTGTGATGTACTCTGTGGGGAGTGGTCACATGGGTAACTAGTTGCCTTCTCAGTAGGTATCAGCACAGTTGGTTTGACCTTTAGTCTCTGTCTTTGGCATGAGGCCTGTGATGATAATACAAGAGAGCTAGTGGAAGAGATGATATCACTTCTCTTAATTAGCTTCTTTCTAGCTGATGGAGGAACCTGTGCTGTGGTCCTGGGCTGAAACAGTAGTCATCTCTTCAGCAAGTCTGCCATTTCATTCACCTCCTGGGCCAAGTGCTGCTCCATTCTACCCATTCCTTAGGCCCAGCGACACTCTCATTGTTAGCTTAGGAATTCTGACCTAACTATGACATAATAAAAATATAGAGTGTTACTACCATCCCAAAACTATCTAAATGTACTTGGTCTGTTCTTAAAAGCACAGAAGATAAACTCATTGGAAATGATGAAACTTAATTGAAGCATCTATGTGCATACCAACAAATAGGCTTAAAAAATTTTTGTTGGGCCTCCCTGGTGGCACAAGGGGTTAAGCACCACACTATGGGGCAATCTGCAGCCTCTGCAGCACGAGTTCAATACTAGCCAGCCAAGGAGCAACTCACATGGTGCAGCAGACCTCTCCTGTCTCGCCCGCTGCTCCCCTCAGCAGTGTATTTCACTCAGTCTGCCTGTTCTGCTCCCTGCTCTGTCTCTGGTGGATTCTTTCACCTCCCGCATCTCTGGTCTGTACCCCAGCTCTTGTGTGCATAAATAAATCTTTAAAAAAAATTTTTGTCACATAATATGGTTGAGGAAAAAAAAATCTTAGACATTAGTAGATTGTTTTCTTTGGTGTAATCCTCATCCTAAAAGAGTGCCACTTTACTGGTGCCACTGAATTTTATTTTTTATACTAATTTTCACTTTGTGTCGGTCATAGTTAAATGATCAGTTTCCTAATTACCCATCATAGAACCACCCATTTTATGAAGATACTTTAAAAATATATATCTTATTAATTGACTGTTTGGCTCATGGTACCTTTTATAGTGACCCTGATGATTTCCAGGAGGAGGGAAAGCTATATTACCTGCTCATTCCTGAACTTCAATTTTTTTTTTGAATAATTAAAGGTATTAAAGGTATTGAATAAGTTTTAGGATAAAAATTATTTAGCCAAAATTAATACATACTATACCTACTATCTTTGGCTAGCTTTCCTCCCCTTCCCTGCCCCCATTCTGAAACAACAAAAGGTATAATGTGCTCATTGCTTTGCAGTTAGAGTGTGTGTGTGTTGCGGGGGAGCCATTTATGTATGTCAGGAGCATTCCCCTTGGAAAAGAGGAGAGAAAAGACTTCACTGTAGTTTTTCTACCTGTAGCCATGCCTGGATCCTAAAGCTGTCACTACCAAAAATAACCAGGCAGAAAAGAGGCAGAAGCCAGTCTCAAGATAAGTGAAGAGGTGAGGGCTTTAGAAAGGGTGGCTAATCTCCAGCTGCTGGCTTCCGGCCAGCTAGTAGTAGTCTCTGCCTACCTTGTGTAGGTACAGTAGTACCCTTCTTGCTTGCCCCAGAGGGTATTCTTGTGGGGGAGGGAGAACTAACTGCAACTCCAACAAATCAGAGGACCAGAACAGCCTTGTTCTAAGAGACGCCTTACATCTTTGTGGTCTGCACAATTCCTTGAGGTAGATTCCATTATCCCCATGTGGCGGTCAGCAGTCAAGTGACATGGGTTTTTGTTTGTTTGTTTTCTGTTTTGGCTAACTCCAGTTTACAGTACCAATGTGTGTAGGGAAGAGAGCTTGGGCTGCAAACATATTTGTCATTCTCCCAGGTGTGTTTGAAAGATTCGACATCTATTAGAGTAAATATAGAGTACTCATAGTAATGAACATGACTGATTTTTGATGATGGAAAGCTACTCTGGAACTTAAGGAATGCCTTACGGTCAGTTTTATTGCATAATGTATCCTTAAGAAAGCTTTGGTTTTCTATCAGCAAGCCGTGTTTCATTAATTGCCAAACATGTTCTCAAAGACTTACAGGTGAAGACTATGTGGCAATTAGCATTAGACAGAAGGAATGTCTGAACCAGTGAAAAACTAGCAAAAGATTTGGGATCTGCTAAAACTGATTTGAGTTACTTAGATCACTTGTTCCAACCACAGGCATCTGATAGACCTTGAATTTGAATCCTGGTCCTACTGCTGGGTGGGTTCTTGGGTAGGTTTCTTCATCTCTAGGCCTCAATTTCCTCATCTGCAAATTGAGAACACCTCATTCACAGGGTAATATGGGGATAAATAAAGGCATGCATCTGAACCCATAGCATGCCCTGACTAAATGTTAGATTTCATCATTAACATCATTAGGTTAGGTAAGGAGGGGTCACAAGTACCATGCTAAAAACATTTTAAAATTACCAAGACATTACACCAAAAATAAAGTATAAGGCATGTTACAGTCATTTTACCTGACTTAATTTGATACTGTTACTTAAGCACCTAACATCAGCAATTCATGTTCTAGCAGGTCAGTTTCCCATACGGTTATAGGTATGTCACCATTTGCCAGTTTGTAGTGTCTGCATCCAGGTGTTTTTAGCCTATGAACTGGGAGAACAAAGGATTCTGAAAGTATCGGGTTCCTCTGGCAAAAAAACAGAAAGCATTGCCTGCTTTGCACTGTGTAACTACAGTAAGTGTTGGTAATTAGTTGGATACACGGCTTACTGACTAGGTTGATCTGAGAGTGGCAGAATTAGGACATGTTGACAAAGATAAAGTGGTTATTTCATGTCCCATTATTGTGATTCATGTGAAGCCATTGTTTATTAAAGTTAAAAACCGGATGTGAATGCTTTGCAGGTGAAGGTTAGTGTAAAGATGTCCACTTCAATGTCTCAACTTTATTTTTATACATTAACAGATGTAATTACTTTGGTCTACTTTGAGGTACAGTTAATCCAATTAAGCTTGCATTAATTTGTGATAGTTTCCTTCTGAAGGTACTTTTTTCTTTCTCTTTCTTCTCTGCTTTCTGCCTTTTCTGGTATTTGTCCAAGGAGAAGATAGTAAACAGCTTAAATTCCTTGTAATTAAGGCGCTTTTGTTGGGGAGAGGGGGAAAAGAAAAATTATTTCAGAAGGAATTGATACTTTGTTTCAGATGGCAGCAGGATTGTAATCATTTCTCATTTAAAAACTTGGAAACTTAAAGAGGCTCAGTAATTAGGACATAATTACAGTCTGTTGGTAGGCTAGGAGCTAGGAACAGATAGTCTATTGTAGACTCTACAGGCGCCAAGTATCCCTTTCTTTATTACTTCAAGTCCACATACTTCAGGCTGGCATATCAGCTCCTTCACAGTGGGATCCATCTTTCCCCACTATCTTGGTACTCGGTACCCTTGCTTACTTCTTCCTTAAAGAGGCAGAATTCACTGTCTGCACTGCCCCTCTTGACTCTTAGAATTGTTGTTCATGTGTTTCCATTACAGAATACAAATCTATAACCCCTTCCCTACTACCACCTCTTGCCAGATTATTTTCCTTCTCTAAATTAAACTTCTAAATGAAATTTCCTTCTCTAAACTTGTCATTTTATACATATATGATGTAGCCTTTGTTATTTAGTCCTCACTCTTCCACATGCCTGTAAATCTCTCTGGTTTTTACTGACCCCAGTGCCAGCATGAGCTGAAGCAGGTTCTTCCCAGCTTCCCCCTTGCCCATCTCGCCTGGAGGGATAGGACATTGTCCTCTGCCTCTGGATAGAGAGGCTGCCTGGCAGCACTGCAGGGAGTTGCACTTACACGGTCCCCTGTGACGTCAAAGTCATGGTAGAGCTCTCTGAGTTCCTGTTTATTAATATTGAAGAGAAAGCCGTATGTGTTGAAGGTGTTGACACCAACTCTCCGCTCCCCGTCTACGTCCAGCAACTCAAACACAGGGCGGCAATGGCGGAAGATGAACTGTTCTTCCAGGTGGTTCTGTTTGGAGGGAAGGTCAGGAGACAAGCAGTGTTGTCAGGGCTGCCTTTTTAGCTTGCTCCATTAAGACTCAGCTATTCACCTGTCCATTTTCTAGATCACTAAAAGCAAAAGGCAACAGGCAGCAGCTCAGGGTTGCAGGGATTTGAGGGTCACTGTATCAAGTCCTGCTTTAGCACCTGCATTCACAGGGCACCTAGGTTACCCATGGTTCAGTTCTGCTTGACATAACTCCAGTGACAAGAAGGTGCATTCCTGAGCTCACTGAAAATCTTTGTGGGAAACCTGACTGCACAGTGATAAAATGATGAAGCCCAACCCTCAAGGAGTGGGAAACATGGATACAAAGTAAGGTAAGGGAGAGGGGGCAAAGAAGAACTTCTCCATTTCCTTCAAAAAACTCTTGAGGAAAGGATTTCTTGGGGAGTGAGACCCTTGGGAGAATAGGAAGGGCTTGCCTTGGGTGTCGGAGGGTGAGATGGAATCTTTAGAAACAGGTAATGTGGGAGGCTGAAGATAGGCAAAGGAGCAACTGGGAGAGTGGCTAGGCAACTGTTGGGAATTTCTAAATGGATGGATCATTTAGGAAGCAAATGTTTTTCTTTCCTTCCCCCTTTATTTATTTCTTCCTAGTTTGAGTGAAAGGGGAAAAATTCAGATGCACTCTTAGTTTAGTGCTACCTTTATCAAGATGAAGGCAGTAGCCCGTCTGCCTCCCTTGCCCCAGATCCTGATTTGTTACCCACCTCCTGTGCCAGCAGGATGCAAACCAGCATGTAGAACTGGTCAAAACCAATCTCGCCCATAGCGTTCCAGTCCAGCATGTCGAAGATTGTCATGATCTGTGTCCGTTTCAAGTCCGTCACATGTTGGAGGAGGTGGTAGAACAGCACATCTGGTAAGGTGAGGACACAAGGAGAGGGGTGACTGAGGCAGCTCAGAATGCTAAGCAACAGAGAATCACGTAAATGGGAGTGATGTCAGAAGCTTTTTGACCTGGAGATAGTGATGACAGTATTCTCCTTCTAACATTGCTATTCTACCTTCCATGGTACCTCAAACCTTAAGTACCCTTCAGGGCCTCCCTGGTGGCGTAGGGGTTAAGACACTGCCTATGAAGCCCTCTGCAGCCACTGAAGCATGAATTCAATCCCTGGCTAGGGAGGAGACCCACATGGCACAGCAGACCTCTCCTGACTAGCCCGCTGCTCTCCTCAGCAGTGTATTTCAGTCAATCTGCCTGTTCTATTCCCCACTCTGGTGAGTCCTCTCACCCCCACACACCTCTGGCCTGTACCCCAGTTCTTCTATGTATAAATAAATAAATCTTAACAAAAACCCACAAAAACCTTAAGTACCCTTCAGCTGTGTGGGAAAGCTCTGTGCCAAGAAGTGTGGAGAGACAGAGAAGGGGAGGACTTGGTTCCTCTCTAGCTGCCATGCTCACCAGAGCAGACAGATGTGCCTACAGAACCAGTGAAGGCACAGTGACAAACATGTCTATGGAACTGGTACAGGGAAAAGCTGAGCACTCCATGGGGACTGACGACACTTACTAGGAATACTTGACATTTTACCTAGCCTTTTTCTTGAGATAATAAAAAACAAATTTTAAAATACATTTGAGGACTCCCTGGTGGTGCAGGGGATTAAGTCTTTGCACAACGAAGTTATCGGCAGCCACTGCAGCATGAGTTCGATCCCCAGCCGGGGAGCTAAACATGGCGCAGCAGACCTCTCCTGTCTCATCCACTGCTCCCCTCAGCAGTGTATTTCAGTAGATCTGCCTGTTCTGCTCCCCACTCTGTCTCTGGTGAATCCTCTCACCCCCTGCATCTCTGGCCTAGACCTCAATTCTTGGATGCATAAATAAAGTCTTTTTTGAAAAATAAAGGGCCTCCCCTGGTAGCGCAGGCGGTTGAGTGCCGCACTGTGAAGCTGTCCGCAGCCTCTGCAGTGCCGATTTGATCCCGGCCGGCCAGCAAGGGTCCCACATGGCGAGCAGACCTCTCCTGTCTTGCCCGCTGCTCCCCTCAGCAGTGTATTTCATCAGTCTGCCTGTTCTGTTCCCTGCTCTATCTCTGGTGAATCCTCTTACCCTCCCGTGCATCTGGCCTGTACCCCAGTTCTTGTATAAATAAATAAATCTTTAAAAATAAATAAATAAATAAAAATACATTTAGCCATATCCATCATGCATGTGGTAGTGCAGGGAGGGAGCAGACTTGAACACAGGAGATGCCCGGCACTGGCCATGCCACATCTCACTGAACCTTGGTGACCCTACAGGTCAGTGATATCACACTCTTCTAGTAAGCCTCAGCGTCACTGCTCTTGTGTCAGTGTTGCTCAAACTGTGGTGGGCACACCAATCTCTTGAGGATCTTGTAAAAATACAACTTCTAATGTAAGAAATCTGGCGTGGGACTGAGCCTTTATTTCTGACAAACACCTAGGCGAGGTGCTGCTGTGCTGTGGGCCAGGCTAAGTGGCAGAGCTGGAATCCAAAGGTAGTTGGACTCCACAACCTTGCCCTTCACACAGTGAAGCCATCTCTTGCACATTTGTTAATAAGTATTCAGTCATATGCAATCAGAAATAGACTAATTTAGAAAGCAGGGAAGGGTTTTGCCTGCAATTCCATTCAACTTAGGTGTCTCAGGGAGTATAAGATGGCAGAAAGGAGGATGGTGATAGATTTATGCAGAGCTGTGTAAGCTGTACAGGCTGTAAGGGACTTTTTTTTTTAAAGATTTATTTATGCATGCAAGAACTGGAGTACAGGCTAAAGGTATCACGGGGTGAAAGGATTCACCAAAGACAGAGTGGGGAACAGTACAGGCAGACTGACTGAAATACACTGCTGAGGGGAGCAGTGGGCGAGACAGGAGAGGTCTGCTGCACCATGTGGGTAGCTCCCTGGATGGGGATTGAACTTGTGCTGCAGTGGCTGCGGATAGCTTCGTAGTGCTGTGCTTAACCCCTTGCACCATCAGGGAGGCCCTATAAGGGACTTTCAAGTGGCTTTTCTGCATGGGATTTCTCCATGCCCATTGATGACTAGCCTCCTGCATATGCTAAGCTATGGCTTCGCTGATTATGTCAAATGTATCTGTGGTTGGGATCCCAGCTAAAACTAGCTGAGGTCACAGTGAACCAGGTACCACATGTGATGGTGGGGGTTGGGGGGTGGGGTTCTGATGGTTTCTGATATTCTTTCCTCCCCACCAGGTATGGACTACATGGTCTCTCACACAATGATATGTAGTTGCTTCTTGAGGAATGGCTGAATGCGGGATTAGTAGCTACTTCATACTGTGTTTAAACTAGCTGGCTTAGGCCAACCTGAGTTGTCATGGCCTAAAGTCCCTACCTTCCCAGAAGGCAAAACTTAAAGCTGTGCCTTCCCTCACTCATTCAGGTATCTCTCCAGTTCCTTGGACACCAGAAGACATGAGTTTGATGTAACGCTTGGGTATTAATCACTGGGGGAGTGACTTAATTACTGGGGACATGGTACTCCTCAGTGAACATTCCCAGTAAGACTGAGTGTGGGCTTTGAAGTCAGAAAACCCAGGGTTCAGTCCCAGCTTTCCTCTTCACTGTTTGGGGTCCTGTACTTGCCCTCTCCAGGGCTAGGTTATTGCCAGCATGTGGTGGCATCCTTTGTAAATCTAAACAGAAAGAAAAAAACTAAGGCATGAGATTGTGAAAAAATAAAGGTGTCTTTTTAAAGAGTAAATGAGCTCTTTTGAAAAAATCTTTATGGAAGAAACCCCTTATTCACAACTAACATTTCTCTCAGGTCACAATGAATGCAGAGGATACCTTATTCCTACCCAATCCTTTAAAAAGTTAAAGTATTTAATTGATCTTGTATTACTTTGTGTGCTCAAAGACGGTATCAAGATCAATATTTCCTGGTCTCAAGTACCAAGAATTACACGGGATCTTCTAGATCACTCTTGATTCATACCTCACATGTAACAGATTAAAAGTCTTGCCGACCAGGTCTTAAGGGTTAAAACCTGAGTGTGGTGTAGCCCCAGGAATAATTACAATAATGAACACTTACTAAATCCTTCTGTGCTAAGCATTTCCCCTCCATCATCTCATTCAGTTACCTTTCTTCTCAACTATTCCATTACTGGAACCTCATTTACATACAAATGAGGAAAATGAGACTTAAAGAGAATGATGACATGGTCCCCAAATCACCAAGGAATATGGGTAGAGTCAGGATTCGACCTGACCCTGCAAGTCTGTCCTCATCCGTCTCAATTCTCAATTCTCTGCGCTTCATGTAGAAGATGAACATTTGTGAATGAAATAATTGCTGATTCTGCAGGTTCTTCTGAACATTAGTTAATAACCAGGTAACAATCTTTTTGAAGGTACTGACCATTCAAGGTGTTGTTACGGTGTACGTCAAGGAGGTGAAAATATTCCATCAAGGCCCGCACATTTCTCACAGACAGCAAGCAGTACAGTTTGTCCAGATAGAGGTACCACAGAAATGACCCATGCTTCAGCTTCATTCTGGTGCGCCTTAAATCAAAGGCCCTGGCAACCTCAAGTAGAATAGAGAACACTGCCTTAGAATTGGAATGTTGGATAGAGAGAAGCCATGGCAGAGCTGAAGGTTTTTCAAGGGAAAAGCATCATGGGAAACAGTCAATAAAAATTAGAATTACTTCCTCCCGGTTCTTCAGCTTTGCTACAGATAGTGTCCTAAGCCTCTTGATTATCGCTGACATATAACCAGGCCTAACCTGAAATCAAAGACGATATAGAAATGAACAAGAGAATGTACATATTTGAAAACCTAAGCTGTATGGCCAACGTGGTTCTAGAGGAGTAGTTGTAACCTAAATGCACTTATTAGAAAACAAGAAAAATTAAGAACTGCATGAAAAAGTACTAAAAGAACCTACACTAAGTACAGTATTAAAACCAGAGAGAAGGACTTTGTTTAAAGACCAAGCCACAAATCCGTGATCAGAAAACAAAGTAGTAAACAATTAGTATATTGGGACTTATGTTCTTTATAAAGCATGAATCATGAATATTCCTTTTTTAAAAAGATTTATTTATTTATGCATACAAGAACTGGAAGCCAGAGGTGTGGGGTGGCGGGTGGGGGAAGGGGGACAGTGAGAGGATTCACCAGAGACAGTAGGGAACAGAACAGGCAGGCTGACTGAACTACACTGCTGAGGGGAGCAGTGGGCGAGTCAGGAGAGGTCTGTTGCGCCATGTGGGTTGCTTCCTGGCTGGCCGGGAATCAAACTCCTGCTGCAGTGGCTGCTGATAGCTTTATAGGTTGTGTCTTAACCCTTTGCACCTCCAGGGAGGCCTGAATCACGAGTATTCTTAATGGCATCTAGAATGGTGACTCCAGAAGTTTTCCAGTTGACTTTGCCCAGATCCATTAGAGGAATCACTACTAGTCATAGCTGTTGCCTTACAAAGTCTATTTTTTCAATAGTAAGACTTGAAAGCCAAAGTTACTCTATGACACATGGGTTTCCAAATGGATGGTATGTTGGGCCTTCCTGGTGGTTCAAGGGTTTAAGTGTCAGCATTATGAGGCAGTCCACAACTACTGCACCACGAGTTCGATCCCCAGCCAGGGTGGTGACCCACATGGAACAACAGACCTCTCTTATCCCGCCGGCTGCTCCCCTCAGCAGTGTATTTCAGTCAATCCACCTGTTCTGTTCACCGCTCTGTCTCTGGTGAATCCTGTCACCTCCCGCACCTGTGGCCTGTACCCCAGTTCTTGTATGCACAAATAAATAAATCTCTTTTTAAAAAAAAAAAAAAAAAGGATGGTATGTTGCCAGTCATGAAAACAACAAATTCCCTTGACCGTCACCACCAGAGCTCTTAGGAGACCAGGTGCATTATCAATGAGCAGAAGTACTTTAAAAGGAATCTTCTTTTTTTGAGCAGTTGAACTCAACAGTGGCTGAAAATATTTGGTCAGCTATGCTAGAAACAGATGTGCTGTTCTCCAGGCTTTGTTCCATTTATAGAGCACAAAGTAGATTTAGCTTTATTCTCAAGGGTCCTAGATTTTCAGAATGGTAAATGAATATTGACTTCAACTTAAGTCACCAGCTGCATTAGCTCATAGCAGGAGTCAGCCTGTCCTTTGAAGCTTTGAAACCTGGCAATGATTTCTGTTCTCTAGCTAGGAAAGTCCAATCTTTTTCCAATATGTTATTCAATATCCACATTGAAAAGCCCTTGTTTAGGGGGCCTCTTTTTGGCCCGGAGGTTGTCTCAGCTGTGTCACCACTGCAGCCTGGGTTTGATCCCAAGCAAGGGAGCTAACCCACATATGGTGCAGCAGACCGCTCCTGTCCCACCTGCTGCTCCCCTCAGCAGTGTATTTCAGTAAATCTGCCTGTTCTGCTCCCCACTCTGTCTCTGGTGAATCCTCTCACCCCTCACACTTCTGGCCTACACCCCAGTTCTTCTACAAAAATAAATACTTTTTTAGAAAAGAAAAACTCTCGTTTAGAATAGTCACAGTCGTCAGTGGTCTTACCTAACTACCTGCGCAATGTTTTCATCTGCACTTGCTGTTTCATCATACACTTTAATATTGTAGGGATAACATAAATCTTCAACGAACCAACCTCTGCTAACTTCAAATGTTTCTTCTGCAGCTTCCTCACCTCTCTCAGGCTTCAAAGAGTTGAAGAGTTAGGACCTTCCTCTGGATTAGGTTTTGGCTTAAGGGAATGTTGTGACTGGATTGGTCTTCTTTGGACCACTCATGTTTTCCATATCAACCAGCAATAAACCTGGTTTTGTTTGTTTGTTTGTACATTCATGGGAGTTGCACTTAAAATTTCCTTCAAGAACTTTTCCTTAGCATTCACCACTTGGCCAACTGCTCCAAGAGACCTACCTCCCAGCCCTTCTCAGCTTTCAATGTAGCTCTCTCCTGAGTTGAATCATTTCTAGCTTTTGATTTCAAGTGAGAGATTTGCAACTCTTCCTTTCATTTGAGCACTTAGAGGCCATTACAGCTCTATTAATTGTCTTGATTTTAATGTTATTGTGTCTCTGGGATTTGGGAGATCTGAGGAGAAAGAGGTGGAGAAACAGAGTAGTGAGAACATGTAACGTTTATTAGATTTGCCTTATATGGGTGCATTTTGTGACACCACAAGACAATTTCACGTCCTCATTCATTCAATGTCATTTCATTATAATGATGAGGAAAAAAGAATTGATTCCTGACCAAGGCCACTGTGTGTGTGCAGTTTACACAGTCTCCCTACATCTGCCTGGGTTTTCTCTGAGGACTCCAGTTGCCTCCTACATGCAAAGACATGCATGTGAGGTTCACTGGTACGTCTCAGTTGCCCCAGTCTGAGCGAGTGTGTATTTGTTGGATTGGGGGTGTTGTGCCTTTCAATGGAAGGGCATCCTGACCAGGGCTGGGTCCCACCTTGCTCCCTGAGCTATCAGGAAAAGCTCCTGCCAGCAGTGACCCAAAAATGGAAATAGATTGGAAAATGAATGAATGAATGCAAAGAATGTTTCATATTATAAGTGCTTTAACTCTTCATTTAGAAGTTTGGTGATGTTTGTGTGACCAGAAGTAGGCCACAGGAATTTAACTCCTGCTTATATCAGTTAGCCTTTGATAAAATTGGTTTTGTTATATATGCCTTGTTTTGCTTAAAGTCTAAGGCCCTCTGACAATGTTAAGTGAGGACTTACTGTGTAAGTAACGTCAAAGATCAGTGATCACCATAATAGATAAAATAATAGTGAAAAAGTTGGAAATAGGGGCCTCCAGTGGCGCAGGTGGTTGAGCGCAGTGCTATGAAGCTGTCCGCTGCCTCTGGAGTGCCGGTTCGATCCCCGCCGGCCTCGGAGCAACCCACATGGTGAGCAGACCTCTCCTGTCTTGCCTGCTGCTCCCCTCAGCAGTGTATTTCAGTCAGTCTGCCTGTTCTGCTCCCTGCTCTGTCTCTGGTGAATCCTTTCAACCTCCCGTGCATCTGGCCTGTACCCTGGTTCTTGTATAAATAAATAAATCTTTAAAAAAAAAGTTGGAAATATTGTGAGAATTACCAAAACATGACACAAAGTTACAAGGTGAGCACATACTGTTGGAAAAATGGCACCTGTAGGCTTGTTGGATAAAGGATTGCCACATATCCTTAACTTGTAAAAGATGCAATAACTGTCCTCAAAGTGCTATAAAGCGAAACCCAAGGCCCCTCTGGTGTCACAAGGGGTTAAGCACAGCTCTCCTGGATTAACTCTCCCCTGCCTTCCTAATGAGAAGATCATAGGTTTGAAGTGGGGGTAGGAGGCTGTGGTGCAGCCAGCTCAGTTTTCAGAACTAGCAATCACCAGCCTTACTTTACAAAGGGTCCCCTGCTTTGGAGACCCAGAAGACAAAATAACTTTTGAGTCAAATTAAGTCCCTTTGTATGAAACTTGCACAGGGTAGGGGGAGTTTAACAGGCTAACCCAGGCGGAAGTGACAACCGAAACTGACAAGGGGAAATCTCACCAGCCTAAAAACACAGTTCTGCATTTAGGTTTGAAAGAGAATGAACTTTATGAATACAGGGAGGGAGACAAGACTGTAGTTGAAAGTCAATTCCTAATAGAGAAAAAAAAAAAAAAAAATCAGAAAGCACCAACAGCATGCTCTGGAAAGGCCAACCCAACCCTTCAGAGAAAGTAGAGAATGTGATGAGCTGACCACAGGCCCAGCTGCCCTGGTGGTGTTCACAGCCCATAAGGAAGAGCAGGCTCTGTTCTGGGAAGGCAGGGACACTGGCACTGTCCAGGGAGGGGCCGCAAGGCTGAGGACAGCTTCCTTCTTGGACTAGGAGGAAGATGAAGCTTGGAAAAAAGGGTCAAGAATGCCCACGTGGGAACCCAGCAAAACCAGCAGCAACGGGAGCAAATCAAGGCAGCCTGAGAGCTGCAGGCGTGACTGGCATAAAAAATGCTTATGCGCTTTGGTGCTGCTTCGCCTAGGAAATGCATATTCTTGGCTTTGGCCAAGTTGTTTTTTTTTTTTTTTTTTTTTAATTTTCTAGAGGCATGTCTTATTTATCTATTTGTTTGTTTGTTTGGTTTATACATGCACTGGGTACAGTCAGAAGCCGGGAGGGCGAGAGAATTCACCAGAGCCAGAGCGGGGAGCAGAGCAGGCAGAAGGACCGAAGTACACTGCTGAGGGGAGCAGCGGGCGGCAGGAGAGGTCTGCGCGCCATGTGGGACCCTCCTCCGGTGGCCGGGGAGCAGCCGGGGATCGAACCGGTGCCGCAGAGGCCGCGGGCAGCTTCGCAACCCAGCGCTCAACCGCTGCGCCACCTGGGAGGCCCAAGCCAAGTTGTTTTTTAACCCTCTCTCCCCTCCTCCCTTATAACTTCCTAAGTCTCACTTCTTTTATTAGTGATCGCTAGTTTTTGTAAGTATTTTGCTTTGTGCACTTGTGCACTTTGTGAATGTCCAATATTTGTCTTTATCATTCAGATTTGATTTACTGCACAGAACTCCCTCAAACTCCGTCCACTTTGCTGTAAACGGCCTCT